AAAAACTTTTCTTGTTGAAAAACTTTTCTACTTGTTTTTTGCTTGTTATCCAACAGTATGTATACTTTTCGGTCTGTGTGCTAAGTCTCGTCTAATTTAGACACCTGGGATCTTGGCTGGTCTTCTACTTTGGTGTGCTATATATTTGGCTTAAGTAGATATTTTCCCTTTATACTTTTCACTCTTTTTACTTTCGATACTCGTGGTCTCTTATGTGAGTAGATTAAGGACTTATTTCCACTAGTATAGCAAGTAATGGATCTTGCGTTGTATTCTTGGGATAAGCATCTTGCCAATGTATTTTTATAATATCATTTTTAGTATACGTGTTTAGAGACAAGTAGTTTCTAATTAAGTTTTATATTCAGATGCCTTGACATGGGAAGACAAACTCAGTTCGCAGTCAGTTGGTTACCCAATACAACCATATTCAGAACCTAGAAACTATAGTTGTGGCAAGAAATCCTTCAACTTTTGAAGCAATACAGGAAGAATATGTACGTGAAACCCGTCGCCAGCAAGTAGTTTTGAAACGAAATAGATTACGAACTAGGATTGCTAACTTGGAGAGTGAACTCCAAGAGTTGAGACAAAATATAAATAAACAGAATAGAAGTTATTTTTGTAACATTTTGTAAATAGTAATAAAGTAATAAATTTTAAATCTAGAATAGCTTGTAGAATAATAATATTAATAATAGTAATGATAGTACTACTACTAATAATAATAATAATAATAATAATAATAATAATAAGTTATAATAATAATGTAATAAATAATGAATAAATAAATAATAAATAAAATTTAACGAATAAATTATTAAGTTAATAATTTAATATTCTGTTTCTAATTTATAATAATTGTAGATTCAAATAAAGTTCGATCATAGTACAGTTTAAGTTATTGACTATTAAAGTATGGCTTGAGAACTTGGCTACATTCTTTAGTTCATAGTTTATAAGCACCATTTTCTAGTTTCTGATGTATATAATAAGGACCTTTAAATTTTTCTTCGAACTTTACCGATCTTGATGCAGCGATATCAGAGCGTGCAACAAGAACCAAATCTCCCACTTTGAAGTCATGATACTTGAACTTCTTGGTATGCTAAGCAATTTGTTTTTGTTGTGATTTGGCAATATTTTGTTGAGCTTGTTCGTGAGCAGTAGATAGTTTGTCAATAAGTTCATAGGCTTGTTATAATATACTTTCTTGTAGATCAATTTCATCAGTTTCTATTTCTTGTATAGGCAGAATAGTTTCAATTAGAAGAGTAGCCTGCCTTCCATATAGTAATTGGAAAGGAGTATATTCAGTAGTATCATACTTTTTTGTACGATAGGCCAAAAGAACTGCATTCAGATGAGTATCCCAATCATCAGAATCTTTAACTTTAGCAAGAGATTCACAAAGTGTTCTATTAAATCGCTCTACAAGTCTATTAGTTTGTGGATGATATGGTGATGAAAAGTGATGCTTAATTAAAAACTGTTCACACAAGATTTTGATCAAGTCACTTCTAAAGTTGGATCCTTGATCAGATAATATAATCTTGGGTACTCCATGTCGACAAATGATTTCCTCAAAAATGAATTTTGCGAGTACAAATGCACTAGCATCAGGTATAGCTCTAGCTTCAGGCTACTTAATTAAATACTCAGTAGCAACAATAATATATCAATGGTTTTGTGATGTAATAGATAGAGGTCCAACCAGATCAATTTCAATTCATTCAAAAGCTTTTCCTACTTGAATAGGATGTAATCGATCTGTTTTCTGATTCTTTTCTCGATGTTGACAAGTATCAAAGGTTCGAATATAGTTTCTAATATCTTCATACATATCATCCCAATAATATTGTTTTATTACTTTTCCAAATACTGCATCAACACTTAAATGTCCAGCAGTAGAATGATTATACATCATAAATAATACTGGTTCAACTTCATTCTACTTGATTATACATAAAAGTTTGGTTGGGTCTTTTCTAGTTTTCTTGTATAATAGTCCGTTCCTTGTACAAAAATATCTAGTACGAGATAAAAATTTCTTCTTTTCTGTTTTTGTATAATGTGAAGGTAATTTGCCTGTTTCTAAGTAGTCCACCAAGTATTGATAAAGATTTAAATCCATGATGTAGAAGTGGTATTTGGGTTACTGGTTCTAGGTTCAAGTCTTGATAAAGTATCAACATTAGAATAAATACGACCTGGTTTATAAAGAACTTCAAAATTATAGGGTTGCAGTTTCATGATCCATCGACCAAACTTTCCTTTTGGTTCTTTTGTTTTTAACCACTAAAGAGCAGAATGATCTGTAACAAAAGTAAAAACAGAAGTTCCAAGATATTTGTGGAAGTGTTCTATAGCCCACACAATACCAGCACATTCAAGTTCAGTAGCAGCATAGTTTTGTTCTTCTTTTCTAAGACTTTTGCTAGCATAAGCAATAGGATGTTCTTTTTCTTTATCATCTTTTTGACTAAGGGTCGCTCCAAACCCTTGATATGAGAAGTCTATAGCAAAAATAAACCTTTTTTTAAAATTAGGATATGCAAGGATAGAAGCAGCAACTAGTTGTTGCTTTAGCTTCTCAAAGGCTTTTTGTTGCTTAGCTTTCCATTCATAAGGTTCATTCTTTTGAAGCAATTTATTTAAAGGATTAGCAACAGCTGAAAAGTTATTAATAAATTGTTGGTAATATCTAGCTAGTCCTAAGAATGACTGAAGTTTGGTAATTCCAGTAGGTAGTGCAATATTTTGAATAGCTTCTATCTTTTTGGGATCAGGTGCAATTTCTTTTTCACTTACAATATGACCAAGAAAGGGTAGTAAAATCATCCAAAACTTGCATTTTTCAATATTAAGCCTAAGGTCTGCTTTCTGATCCTTTGAAATACAATTCAAAGGTGGTTCAAATGTTTCTCAAAAGTTCGTGAGAAGATATTAGTGTCATCCAAGTACACAACTACAAACTTCCAATTGATATCCTGGTAAACATGATTTATAAGTCTTTGAAATGTAGCAGGTGCATTACAAAGACCAAACGGCATAACATTGAACTCGTAAGTACTATAACAAGTTACAAATGCAGTCTTTTCCTTATCTCTAGAGTCTATTTCTACTTGCCAGTACCCACTAGCAAGATCTAAGGTAGAAAACTATTTAGCTCCTGACAAAGTATTGAGCATTTCATCAATACAAGAAAGGGGATAAGCATCCTTTTTAATAACATTATTAAGTTTCCTATAGTTTACACAGAACCGTAATTTCCTATTCTTTTTCTTGACAAGAACCACAGGTGAAGTCTAGGGGCTTTTGGAATGCTTAATCAACTTATTTTTTAACATCTTTTTGATTTCTTTTTTGATAAATGCTTGTTCATCTGGAGAAGCAGAGTAAGGCCTAGATTTTATTGAAGTCACATCTTCAGTATAAATTCGATGCTTTACAACATCAGTTCTTCTTAGTTTATTGATATTCTTGGCAAATAAATCTGTAAATTTATCTAATAATTTCTTAAATTGTTTGCTTTGTTCAGTCGTAAGTTGATCTGTTTCAACATGATCTTTTGAAGTTAATAGATACTCCTCTTCTAGTTCTAATTTTCCAATAGTATAGACTTTCTGAAAATTTAATTCTTTTTTCTAGAATTCTGTTTTTTCTGCAGATGCAGGTTGGACAAAGCATTGTATCCAAAATTGGTTTTGTTGTCTATTTCTTTCTTCTTGCTATTGAGTTAATCTTATATGATCCTGATACAAAGAGAAGAGTAACTGGCTTAACCATTCATTTTCTTTTTGAAGTTGTAAAATTTGTTGTGCTTGCTGATTTATAATATCTTGTGGCTTAGGCTCTTGTTCTGGTTCTTTTTCTTTTTGTGAACTAGTATATGGCTTTATTTGTTCTTGATAGCATTCATTACAAAAACCTTGATTGGGCTCTAGTTCAGAAATATGTTTAGCAAACAAACAATCTGAATACAAAGCCACTTTGCCTTCAAAATTAGTATGCAAGTTGGCAATAGCTTGTTGATGATCAAAATCAGCATTCGATAGATCAAAAGACTCAGCCAAAATTTGATTTAATTGTTGTTCTTCATCAGTAGTTAATTGTGTTTTATCAATACAGAAGAGCAAAGTTAATTCCTCATTTATAAACTCTCTATTAAATCTATCTGTTTCCTGTTCTACTTCTGCTTGAACAATACTCTGAGATATTATACCTAGCAAGGTTTGGGCTAACCGGTATATACTATCTTAGTTCATATCATAATAACTTCCAGCACTTTTGTTAGACTCAGTATAATGCTTAATTCTGGTTCACAAGTCATAGTTCGGGTTATACTTGATATCTTCACTAGCTTTGTATGCATACATATGCTTAAAGCTACAAAACCAAGTTCTATTTGGCAAATTATGCATATTGTGTTTAGGATTTTCTTTTTCACATATGATACATTTAACTAAAGTTCCTCTTCCTAATTCTTGTTCATAATAATAATGGCTCCTGGGGTCTCCTCGATTCAAATTTTCATGATAGTCCTTATAGCATGCTTTGCAGACTAGAGTCCCTTCTAGTAGCATTAATTCATTACCAAATTGAGGATACTTGCATTGACAGCAGTGATGTTTCCTCTTTTGACTATGATAATATACTTTTTGGTTAGCAACTTCCTCTTTATTACAACCACATTGATATTTTTTATTTTCTTGTTCAAGTTTACTTCTAGGACAATTAATACCAATATGCCTTTTGTTATCACACTTTCTGCATTCATTTTCTGGACAATCCTTAAATTGATGACTTGATTGACCACAATTAACACAGGTCGTATGTTTAGGCTTTTGGTAAGAACATTTAACAGCAATATGTCCAAACTCATCACATCGCCAATATTTGTTATATTGGCAATCTTCAAAGTAGTGATCAGTTTGTTTACATGTTCCACATTCCTGGTTTTTCTTGTGAGAGATTTTTGGTTTTCGTTGATATATAGTTCATCCTGAATCTTCAATATTATTAGATTCTGCTTCCAAGGTATAGGCTTCATAAGGGATTAATTCTTCATTCTCATATTCTTCTTCCCAGTCATCATCCACTTTACTAACTATAGATTGTCCTTCTATAGCCTAGTTATGCTCATAGGTGGTAGGTACAATAATACAGTGACTGTCCCAATGTATGATATATTCTTTGGTTTTCCAATCATATTGGGCTTCTACTTTGCAAGACCAATTATTTCCCAAAATAAGAGAGTAAGTAGTTGCTGGTACAACTTCTATAGAGATAGGAATAGTAAATCCTACAATTTCTACAGGAACATCCTTAATAACACCTAGAGGTCTAACTTGTTTTCCAAGTGCAGATGAAATTAAATTATTAGAAGGGGTGTCTATTTTCAATCCAATTTCTTTGGCAGCTTGTTGGGTAATCATACTAATAGTAGCTCTGCTATCAATAATAGCAGTAAATGGTTTATTATGAATAGTTGTTTGATATTTCACAGGAATAGTTTGTGGTTTATTAGAGTGTACCAGATTTACAATATTGGAGTCACCTTGCAGATAATTTGCTAAGGCTTCTCTGATACTAGTATTATTTAAAAGAGTATCCCAATGATTGGTAGAGGTGGTTTCTTTATTATCTGCCAAGTTGATATACTGACAAATAGGAGATCTATAACAGACTTCCTAGTCTCTAGACTGACTTCTAGACCTGTTTTTATTATAGCGATTATAATCTCTAAATCTGCTTTTGTCATAATGATTATAATCTTGAGTATTTCTTCTATACCTTTCTTGACTTCTAGATGGATTTCTTCTATAATTTCAAGGTCCTGATTTGGATCTTCTTCTGAAATCTCTATTTTGATAAAAGTTGTTTCTTCTTCTATCAAGTTGACATTGTGCAACAACATGTCCAATATTGTTACATCAAAAGCAACAAATATTTGGGCTGATTTTTCTATTCCTGTCTTGATTCTGATTATTTGGGTTATAACCACTTTTAACAGTGTAAGCTTTCTTCTTGTTATCTTGTTGGACCAAATTAAGACTCATTTTTTTAAAACTATCAGTTAGATCTTGGATAATGTTTTCTACTTTACTAGTAGATCCAGAAGCTAACATTTTTCCAGTTTCCTATTTTCTGGCCATTTCGATTGCAGCATTCACATTTGTTGAGTCAGATGCTTGTATATAGATAGCCAAGTCAGGTTGCAGGCCTTGAATAAAAAGTTGTTTAATAAAATCTCCTGGGAATCCTTCATTAGGATCAATTCGATTTCAAAGCTTTTTAAAATGATTAATATAGGCATCAACTGAATCTGCTCCTTGCTGAATATCAAAGAGTTGTTTTTGCCAGGTAGCTTGTTGAGTAGAAGTAGAAAAGTGAGTTTTAAACATATGGTAAAAACTACAGACTTGGGTATTGTCAGTTCTAAAAGAAGTAGCAGTTTGGGTATCATTTAAAGACTGATACCATTCTTGAGCAATCTCTTTTAGATATGCAAGGGCAAGCTCCAATTGTCTGTCCTCATTCTATCTATTAGCAATAGCAGCACATTCAAATTCTTCTATCCATTCAACAGGATCTTGGGACCCATCTCTTTCGAAGTATTTCAAGGTTACCAAAGTTTTTTCACTGCCTTGTCTCAGTGCAGTAGCTAAAGCTTGCATAGTAGTAGCAGCATCTCGTAAAGCAGCTTCAGCCATTGGTTCAGGATTTATAGATATAGTAGGGTTTGCTTCAATATTAATCTGATCAAGAATTTGATCTGTTTCAAAACCAAATAATTCACAGGATGTACTAAAATTAGGATTTAAAACTACAGACTCTGGTGGGAAAGTATTAATGAGTAATTGATATGATATAGATCCTTCACTAAAAGAACTATCTTCTAAATAAGTAATATTAGTAGGGTCAGAGTATTGGGTTAATTGAAGACTACTATTAGAAATATATGAAGTTTCAAGTGGTTCTAACTCTTCAGGTAGATTAATTAAATTCTCTACTTGGTAGTCAGTATCAATATATAAGTCATAGGGGTTAGCAAAATACATTCCTAAAGATGAATAATGTATAAAGGTAGTATATCTTTGTAATAAATAAATTATTAAAAATTTAGGATCAGGAATTTCACTATAATAGTAACAGCTAAATATTATATCTCGAGCAGCTCTACGAGCAATAGTATATCTGGTAGTATGCTTTAAAGTATGTAGTTGATTACGAGTAGATAAGCTACAGAATTGTAATAGGCCAACAGTATGATACCACTCAATAAACTGACCAAACTGTCTATTCGAACTATATCGTCCAAGAGAAAAACCAATAGAACAAGATAAATCTGAATAATTGAGTTGTAGATTTGGGTAAAGTAGTGAAGTAGTTTGCTGATGGGCTTGTTCATGTAAGGCTATTTGATCATTGTGAAACTCAGTTACAGTAGTCATATACTATATTATATTCTGATTCTTTTTCCAAAACTAAATATTGGAATTCAATTGACTATTCTGTTCTAAATTTGCTAGCAATATAAAAACAAAATCATATCCAGGATATATGGCTAAGATATCACGTACAAAAATTATACATAGCTAAAATTATCACGTACAGGATTGTACAAACTAATATATCATATACAGAAATTGCACCAAAAATATCATGTACAAAGATTGTACCAAAGAGTATCATGTACAGAAATTGTACATAGTTAAGAGTATTACGTACAGAAATTGTACATAGCTGGGAATATTATGTCCAAAGATTATACACTAATTTACTGTTTCTAAATTAAAGATTTTAATAAAAAGGGTTGCTGTAGTACTGTAATACCTGTCAATACTTTTGTGTTTCCACCAGGAGATACCAAAATATTACAGCAGTACTCAAAATATAAGACCATATTGACAAATATAGAATAGTTTTATTTTAACAATAAAGTTACCCAAATAAGTTACACAGGTAATACAGATGATACAAGTAGTACAGGTAATACAATTCACGTTACAAGAGAAGGGCACAGATATTAGATAGCCAATCCAATATCCAAGAGAAAGTAGAAATTGTAGGGGAGATATCTGTAGGAACTAAGAGAAAAAACCTCTCTTTATATATCTGTTGAAGTAGTATATACTGGCACACACCAAGTGGTATACGCTGGCATACAACCATGTGGCAAGTGGCATACACTGGCATACAACCATGTGGTGGGTGGCATACACTGGCATACAACTATGTGGCAGGTGGTATACACTGGCATACGGCATACAGTGGCATATACTTCTAACTATTCTATTCTAATAAAATATATTTAAATAATAATATAATTTTTTTTTTTTTTTTGGTTTTAAGGTGAGGCCTTACTCATATCTTTATTAGTAAAAATTTTTTAATAGTAACAGTG